TATATATATACATGTATGTATATCACTAAGTTGCAAAAGTTCTGTCACACCCATTATAGTATGATATTTTTCGCTGCAGCGTGAGAGTTGCGGCAACATTGAAAAAGTATGACCTGTGTGACTTATGAAACTCCACGTGCATGAGCAGACGAAAGAAGTCATAAACCGGAAGTAGTACGCGAGCAAAGTGTTGGTTTTGACATCTCACGGTGTAGGTTGAAATCAAAGCATATTGCACAACAAATTTGCGTTGAATCACGTAGACAATGTCTAAACACACCTTACACACTGTTTTCAGCTGTTCGTTTTCAAAGTAAGAAAAGTGACTAATGCAGAAAATAAACGCGCTGAGAAATAATGCATTCTAATACATTCTTCAATTGCGCCTTCTACTGGTGTAAGACACGTAAATGTGTGTAGCAGAACTATCTAACGTTTGAACTATCGTTTTAACATCACTAGAACTGTCCAAGACAAGCCTAGACATGGCTAACCAAGGGCGACGACTCGACGTCAGAACTGGTGTATTGTCAAAACCCGTGTTCGAAACCCGTTCCAACCAAGTGCATAGACTGCCAGGTGCATCTGTCTTAAAACGTTATTATTAGACGTTTACGGGATCATGGATTACGTGATTACCGCCCTTTATGTGGAGCCACTCTAACCCTGTTTCATCGAACAAATCGACAGATTTGGGCACAACAACACTGTCTGGGGAACCGAGGACAGAAGTAAAGTGCTCCATTCAGCAATGGTTCGGGTTTTTGATTCGTCGCATTGATGGAAAAGGAAATGTGTTTTAAAAAAAGAGGATAGAGATTTTACAAAAACCTACAAAGTCCCCAAAGTGGACCGATCGGGTGCTGAGATGTGAGAGTCCGGGGTGGATTCTCTGCTCACGTTGACTGCCCAATATGGCACGATTGATGTAATGTGCTAACAAGACAACACCCGACCCCATGCGGCCATGATCAGTCAAAACTCCTTCTAAACTCATTAAAATCATTGTTTCAGACTGGCCTGCAAGATCAAAAAGCCTTAACCCAACAGAACATCTGTAAGATTACCTTCACTAGAGGATTAGAAACAGGCTGCACTCCGTACAAACTTGTCAGGAGCTGAAGCCTGTACTTCAGAAGGAATCGCAGGGGATTCCTCGGGCAACATAAGGACAATCAATTCAGTCAATGAACAGACGTTTAGTAGCAGTAAATCAAGCTGGAAGAGGCCACACTCAATACTGAGCAAACTTTGATTTGGATTTTGCAAGGGTCAGTGCATATAAAATTATCGCCCTTAAATAAGGATTAACAATGGTCAAGTCTTTTCATGCCATGTTGACAACAACAAAAAAGAAGAAAGATCATGTGTACCAAATTTATCATGGCTATGTTGAATAGTAAATGAGTTTATATACTTTTAAGGTGGGTGTGACAGAACTTTTGCTACACGGAATATATATATA